TTTTTTTTTTTTTTTTTTTTTTTGTGGTTTTATATACCTGTCAGGCCTTGGGGGCATCATATAACCAATGGCCTGAGTCCTACTACAACTACACTTTTTTTTTTCCTCAGTTACTTGCCTAGTTACAACAACTAGCAGCACAGGCAATATACAAGTACAGCCTTACATGCACACAAACACTCGTTGCGAGTGCTATCCCAAGGAATGGTGGAATAGCATCGTGTTTAACAGAGGGTGTAAATGGATATTCTACTAAGCAACTTGGCATTCTTAGTGGCACATCAAAGGAGTCGCCGACCAACCAAGTTGCGTTAATGCTCGGTACATATCAGTAGAGAACAGCCAGATACTTCTGGGGAATAGAATTATATAGTAAACAAGGACAAAATCACCAAAAAAAGGACAGAAAAGAAAGATAGGACCCAAACTTCTGCAACTCAGTTCTGCAACTCTCACTGAAATCAGTGGGAAACCCAGGTACAGAACGGTTGCAGGTTTGGATCCAAATGGGTAACAATGCCTTGGTATGTTCTTTTGAAAGAGAAGAGTTAAAGTAGATTGTTTAAAAATGCAGAAAATAAAACCATATGAAAATAGGTTATTTCTTGGCAATTATTTCTTAAAAAAAAGGAATAAGTGTTCTTATCTGAAAAATAAAAAAATGTTCAAAGGGTATCACCACTGCAATTGTATTAATGCCACTTTGGACAAGTTCTCCAAGTTGTGGTTGCCTTAAACTAAAAAGATTTTTTTTTTTGTACATAATGTAAGTATAAAGATATCAGTCTGCATGGATGCAAACTGTGTGTGACAAATCGTCTCTTTAAATGGTCAGTTTAAATTGTACATTTCTCATTCAAGTTGTACGTTAGCCATTGATTTTAGCTTGGATAAAATATCCGATCTCCATTTCCACAGCCCAGTTCAAAAAAAAAAAAATTATCTAAGACTGAACATGAAGCTATTCCATTGCAGTAATAATGCTTTTAAAAAGTCAGCTGTTGAAATTTGAAATAGGTACTTTCGCCTTGATTTTATTTTTTTAATTCCTCCAAGACAGTGAACACCTGGCATGGCAAGACTGGTACTAAAACTGGGGGAAGGAGGGTTGAGGATATCCCAGCTAGAGAGCAGGGAGCAGAATTATTTAAGCATTCACAAGCTAACTGCTATTCCCTTTTCTAAGGAATCGTTGAGCTGGCGTATTGCCAAGGAAATTGCAAATAGCACGACACTAAAAAAAATAAATAAAAAAGTCCCCACAAATAAAGAAAGTGGTTCTTTTCTTTTATTTATTTACAAAATCATATCAAGACTATGGTGTTAAAGGGACACTGTAAACATAAAACTCATTATTTTTAAAGACTTATTTTTCCTAACTTCTGTTATAGCACCTTACCTTATTAAAGATGATTGCATTTTTTTTTTTAATCTAGGGGCAAATCTTGTGATCCTAACTTAGTTAAAATCTCATTAAAGTTAATGAGAGGGGCCCTGGAATTTTGTTCCTGATTTGTTTTGCACCATTTATAATACTCATTTGCTATATTTTTTCCTCGATTAATGCAGCTTAGATATAGACTGGTCTCCTTCAATTACAATCAGGTTTTCCTTTTAGTCCTTGTGAATTGACACTGGCTCACCGGCTGCTGTCACAGTGCTGCAAAGAATTGTTTAAATCCCCCACACCCTAGGAAGGTCGTTTCTTAGACTTTCATTTATAATGGAGTTCTTTTTTCCTCCCCTTTGGGCCTGAAACTAGTTGACAGTAGGCACGTCTACACGTTCACTAATGCCTAGTAGTTACTGTGCATTTAGTTTAGTACATGTTTAATGAAGTACTAGCTAAATGTGCAGTACCTACAGTTACTGTGCAGTAGCATCGGCACACATTTTTTTATGACACTTACTGTGCAGTAGCCTAATAACACTGCTCAGTAGATTATTAGCACAGTTTTTGACCGACACGCTACTGCGCAGTGTTATTAGGCTACCGCGCAGTACGTGTCTTGTGTAGACGCACCCAGTGTCTCTTTAAATGCAAGAACAACGTGGGTTCAAGTTTTCTGGGTACATGATAGATCCAAACTACAGCAAACATTGATCCGCAGTCACAACATTCTTGTTCCCCGCTAGCATGGGAAGTGTAGAAACTGGAGAAAAAGGCTGAATGGGCACTATTCTACCTTTGGATGCCCATCTGTAGCTTAATCAATGCAAAACGCAGACTCCCTTGAGCTGTCAGAGTGTAGAGTCAACTTATGGCTTGAGATGCTCAAGTGGGCATAGGGTGTAAGGTAGAGGGTTTGCCCTGAGACCTGGCCCATTGCCCTCGTCTTAGCAACTGAATGGGACCAATGCAGCCCCTTGTTCAAGGAGGTATTACCCATCATCCTGCCCACATGCAGAAAGTCATCTACACTCAAGAATTGCAGCATGCAACAAAGTGCTCTGGATAAGAATATGCACACCGTTTGTTCTTAGAGACATAAGAGTAGCTTTCAAAGAGTTTACGGGGACAAGCTATCTAATAAAGGTGGACTGTGACTCACCTGACCCAGGGTTTCTTTTCCACAGTGGGAGCCTGCAAAGAAGCATGCTAGGAGGCAAGAATATTATGATCCAGCGGGGGTTGTTTGTCCAAATGACAGCACAATGCAGCAGATTTTGTCTGACAGGCAGATTAGCATGTTAATTTGTATGAAAGCAGGCTGAAAATATTGTTAGATGGCACTCAGAATTTGTCTTCTGCATGTTGCATAGTCTATAAATATGATAAGCAAGTTGCTGACAGAATAATATTATAAGGCGATGTACTACATGCAGATCATAAAGGATTTAGTTTTAGGGCTTAAGGCTAAAATCCCACTCCTGCAGTTTATTACCCAACAATATTCCAGTAATGAGCTTTTTGATATTTTTTTTTCCCCCAGCCCACTATGAAGATTTACTGAGGAGCTGTCTAGAGTCTCACAACACATTTCTAAGGACTGACTGTATAAAGCAAGGAAAAAGAGGACGCTGGTGGGAGGAGGGAGAAATAGCTTGTGTCACAGAAAATGTCAGCTATCTATTGCCAGTTCCACTAGCCCTTCCGCGTTACATTTTCTGTGAAGCTTCTGACATGCTTTGGGGCACGTAGAAAAAAAACGACAACAGTAATAATACTAGGTTATTCAACAGCACGGCCCATTATACCCCAGTGGACAATAGTGTTTCAGACCATTGATGTAGACTACTGTGTTTGTATGGTGATATTGTTTGTACAGCACCTAGAACAATGCTGTCCTGGTACATGACTGAGGTTTCAAGTGCTACAGCAATACGAACAATAACTAATCAAAATTCGTGTTCTATGTATGAGGATCTCCCCAACTCTTATTTTCACAGGCCCTGATCCAGGAAAGCGATAAAGCACGTCTAAGTAGTATTTTCGGGGGGGAAAAAGGGTAGGGGGGATGGTTTCCTGGATGGGGAAAACCAAGATCATACCCCTGCAATGCCTCTTCCTTCCATCTCATCCAAAATCTGGGGTGCAGCAGTTCTGAGACAATTAGAAGCACATTTCAACAAAGGAAACATATCTGAGATGTCCTTATGATGCCTGACTAGGTTGTATAAAACACTAAATAGAAAACGAGAAAAAAAGAAAAAAAAAAGGAAAAAAAATCGAAAAAAAAATCGTAAAAAACCTGAGAAGAGCTGCCAATTGGACAACATGGGGAAGCAGTTCAGTCCCATGTTGGTTTGTTTTACTTTCCTTTTTCTTTATTTTTTTAATCTATTTCTTAAATAATAAATGCACATGAAGTGTTAAATATGTATATACTGTATTTCAAAAAAAAATTAAAAAAATCAAACGAATGGGGCACAAGATTGTTCTATAAGTCGTGCTGGCTAATTTTTAGTTTGTATTCATAAGTGGTTTTTAAAAGCCTTTTTTAAAGTGTAATTTGCATGTTCTACTTTGATTGTATGTAAACATATTTTAGAGCAAAAAATGTATTTGTATTTTATTGAATATAGAGGCAAGAAAAAAAAACTTGTACATTGTTTGAAATGTTCTTTTTGTAACAGTTTTTATTCATGAAGCATTTTTGTACATTTAAAAATGGATATGGACTTGATGTTATTTGAGGCTTAGATACATCTGGCATGCTTTAATGTCATGCTCCTTCATGATCTTAGATGTTGGTTTTTAAACATTTTTTTCTAAAACAAAGCTCAGTCTTTTCGCTACCAAATCAGGTTAGCACAGTATAGAGCACTTAACTAAAAAAAGAAAAAAAAAAAAGTTAATCCTATTCATATGTTATTCATTGTGTGAAATTAAAGGAATTCAATTCAGTCTAACATCATGAGTTGTGAATTCTTTTGTCTTATTTTCCATCTGTTTCACATCACTAAGGAGTTTAATAGCTTTTGGGATACTAATGCCATGCACTCACCAACCCTCTTTATGGTAATGTAGAAAAACATGCTTTGTTTCTGGGGGGGATTTTTCCCCGGAATATCCTCAAAAGTTTTTTTTTTTTTTTTTAAATGTGATGGAGCTTATTTTCCAAGGAGAATTCATAATTTGTGTCTGTGAAGCTTTGCATATGACTATCAGGTAGAAAAGTCTATGGCCTGAACTGTGGCCTGAGACACTCATCTGGGTGGGAATAACTGTACATGCCAACCACAAGGAGTATTCTTGCTGTGCTCTTTGGAGGAAGTAGAAGAGACCAGGAAATCAGGGAAGGAATGGGCAGCATTGGGGTAGAGCCAGGTAAATGTACATCCTCATACTTTCCACCCCAGGGATCGCTGGTAGTACAAATAATACAGCATGGGGTGTATTATCTTCTCCATTGACTCTTACCATAGCTTGCACGCATTCAGCTGCACTGACATAAACTAGCTATGGAAGGGAACCT